GATCGATACACCGCCTGACGAGGAGAAGTCCGACATGCAAGCTGCCGCCGCGGCAACCACGATAGTGCCGCAGGGAACAAATGGGACGCGGACCCGCCATTGGTAAGCAGCGACAACTTCGGAGCCAACCAGCGGCCAACAGATAGGCAAACACACGGCAAGGCGGATTCATTCAAGGCCCACGGAGGAATAAGCACGGTACTCTGACGATGGAGGCGAGGGCAATTTCGAAACGTCAGCCAAAATATACTTTGGTCCATGAAACTGCGCCTCTTCTTCTTCCTCTTCGGAAGATGATGCACAAGAATACATAACGTTTAAATATCACCTAAGAAACATGATCCACTTCTCCATGTTATGAGGAAGAGGTCAAATTACGCTCCGCAAATGTTGCATTCCATGTGGACCATGCTTTATACGATGCATTAATAAACTTACTGATACGATGCTTTATTAAAAAGACATTCCACCGCCTTCAATGAAGGGAAGTCTCGTTTCAAACCGCAGGGTACACTTTCTTCGAGCATAAAATCTTAATAAAGACGTACTTTTCAAGTAAATGAGTAGAGAAAGGAATATTCTAGCACGCTCTTTCTATGGGATATGTCTAAATTTATAGGGGTATTGGAAAAACCATTGAGCCTCTCCATGCCACGGAAGTAGGCATTTTTCTACAGTGATGTTTCCTTGCAAGCGACTGGAACTAGTTCGCCTCCTGGGCTGAATGAAATATCCTAGATTTGGGCTACATGATATTAAATACTTCAACTTGACTGTTTTTTTCGAATGCAAAAATACATTTTCTGCTTTCGGTTGACGTTTCGTGGGGTAGGCAATCTACTGTATTTATGTTGTTGCTGGAGTAACTACCATGTACTACAGCTTTTGATAAGTGGATTGTCTGCCGACAGCGGTTCGAAGGTCCACACAAACAAAACTAACGAACCTTAAGGTCGTGGAGATATTCCAGCACGTAGAGGTGTTCCGGTCGGAACAATTTTAACCATCCGCTAACTGCGTCGTCCGCTTGCATAACAGAAGCCTCGTGCGTCGCCATTGTATATAATTCCTCTATGTCGTCTAGGATAGCAATGAGAACAGGCAAATTATTATTATTATGTTCTATTATATAACAGTTATATGACGCTTATTTTGTATGATAGTATAGAAGATAGGAAAGCGTTTTCTGGGACCAGTAGTTTATTTGCCCGACGATTCGAACTCTCATGCGGGTCCATTATGAGTGACTACCAAAGAATGCTTGTCCTTCCGTCGCACGATGGGTTTGTGCTTATGCAGTCTCGTGAGAACGCATTTGCCGGTTTCACTAAAATAATTTGCTTTACGACAAAGCTATTCGATGCGGTAAATGATACCGGGTTCTCATGGGACTGTACGAGCAGGACCTCGCCGTCGACGGAAGGACAAGCCTTCTTTGGTAGCCGCTTACGCATTCACGTCAGGGCCCGGCTTGAACTTCGAACAGGTGCAAATCCTTTGTCAGTCGGACGCATGGCACTGGCACGCGGGTTCTATTAAAAGGCACATGGATCTACGTGATACCTATTTCGCTTTCCGGGAACAAATCTATGGCAGAGTCCAAGGTCACTCCCGGCAAAGCCGAGCTAAATCTGCAGTGACCTGTACATTTTTGTACTCCTCGAGGGAGAATTCGAAACATCGGGCAAGTAAACTACCCGTCCCAGAGGACGCTTTTCCGTCTTCCATTGCATTATCTGAGCCTCGCATATTGACGACTATTCAGAATATAATATTATATATGGACGTAGGTCGCAATTCCAATGCTCAGTGCTAAGTTGTGCCGTGAAGTTCGTGCAAGAGCGATCGCAGATAGTCGCTTAGTGACTTCAGCCATATGATGGATTGTAACCGACAAAGGTAAGGGAGACCGGAATGGCCATTTCTGTCTTGTTAGCCGTTATCAGCCAGTCATATTTAATCTCAGGTGTATATCACCCAAGATTCAAGCCCGGGACCTCTGTTCATTGATTTCACCTCTCTAGCATGGCGCCACGAGCTCGTTGCTTAGTCGGTTGCGATTGGTAATATTATGGAGGTCGGTTGCTTATTCGACCTATCTGATTAGGAAGCATACTTGTCCCGTTGTGCTTTGAGACTCGTGCCAGAGTGATCACAAGCAGTCGCATAGCGACATCGAAAATATGTCGGATCCAGCTAATTAATAGAAGACGAGGAAGCGTTCCCTGGACCAGAAGTGTGTTAGCTCAACTTTCGAACTCTCACGCGAGTCCACCGTCAAGGAATAAAAAAAGTGTACAGCCCACGGTATATCTAGTTCCGCTCTACCGGGAATGACCTTGAGCTCTGCCATCGATTTGTTCACGCAACGCGTGAAAGACATCAGGAAGATCGATATGTATATGAATAGAATTCGCGTGCGAATGCAATTCCTCCTGCATCCTGCGTGATATTCGGTCGGTCGACCGACACAGTATTCGAACGTGTTTGAAGTCGAAGCCGTGTGCTGGCGTGAATGCGTGTGCGGCTACGAATGAAAACTTGCCCTTCCGTTGGACGATGAGGTCGTGCTCGTGCGGCGTCATGAGAACCCTTTTGCCAGCGTCACCAACATAATTGGCCTCACTGCAAATACAGTCGATACGGTAAATGACTCCGGTTTTTTGGTTACCGGGTACTGGATCTTAAGCCTACACACGTCACTTGCTTATTGTGGCTTTCGGTCTGTAAGCGACGCCAATCCCAACTCACTGATACCAGCAATATAAGGTACTGCTCGCCATCGTGCTAGTTCCAGTTGCCCAGTTGGTTTCCTTCCTTTGGCTCCCTGCGTGCATTTCTTGACGACTGCACCAGGATATCCGTTCATCGTGAAAAGTTTCCGCAGAAACTGGCCTTCTTGTCGGCTGGTTCGCTGCAGTGAGTTGCTACGCGAGCATATAGCGTGCGCACTCAGTTGCATTTGCGCTAAACGCGGTGGTCACTCCCGACAGAGCGGAGTCAAATACACTTTGTAATTCCCTGACAATGGGCTCGCGTGAGAGTTCGAAACGTCGGGCAAATGAACTACTGGTCCCAAAGCACGATTTTTCCTCTTCTGTATGTATTATATACTATATTACTGTTATATTATTATTACTATGGGAAATAAAAAAGAGCGGAACCTCACCGAGGGTAATATTCAAATCATGGAGACCGTTGTCAGCAACGATGTCAGCAAGAACCTTCTTCATCTCAGGACCCTCCTTGAAGGCAGACCATTCACCGAGGAGTTTTTTGTTCTTCCGGATTGTTTTGGCATACCGATCACAACCGTCGAAGAAACGAAGACGGTCAGAGTCTTCTTCGTATGAAACTGACCAAGGGCTTTGAAAAAACTGAAGGACAAGACAAGGAAACTTGATTACGGACATGGTAAGTGGACAGGTTTGAGAAGTGTCATGCGCACGGGAAGTGAATGTGCAAGTTGAGGGACTTGGTTAGAATAACGCTCAGGGGAACATACAATTTACACATGAAAGCGCAAACTCTGACCACCAGCACATTAGGTGGAATGCGCAGCAATAATGAGAATAGTTGCACAAATCTCGCTGACCGATTGTTGGAGCGAAGTCAAATCCAAGTCATCGTAGGACCCATTAGGGACATTGGTGGTCGGCGAATAAAGCGCTTACAGTCAATAAATAAGTAAGGCATGGAATACAAATGCACCGCCTCAAAAATAATCCAATGCCAGACTGAAAACTGAACGCTTGGGATTTATTCCGAAGTCATCAGTGCATTATTTGCTGAGGTATTAAAAAAACCTAAAAGTGGACAACCTGAGTGTATGCGAAAACGCGCATAAGCAACATTGGGAGGAACAATACTGAGACGAATGCCCCACAAGTAAAAGTATTGCGCTGCTAGCCTCAAGCTTTGGTGGTCTACAGTTGGTAGTGTCGCGGTTAAATGAGTTCGCTATGTCGGTTGGCATGTCCCTAAATTCCAGAAGGACGAAGTTATTCTCAAGCTGC